GGGATGTTGAGACAGGAGCTTTTCAAGTATGGATTCAATTTTGTTTGTTTTTTATTTTTGGGTTACATTCTGCAAAGAAGAATGGGCCAAAGCTCTACAGCAACGCTGTACAAGACTGCTCTGTAGTTATCAGAAGCGTTGCTTTGCAGATTTTGTTGCTAAAGGTGGCACAACCAGATTTTAATTATCTTTATTTAATGGTATTATAGTATATGATTTTATAGTTTTATTAGTTTAATTTGTCACATGGGTGATATGTGTTGGGTAAATGTGTATTTTAATTTGTGTATTTATGCAACTATTGATGAATATGTTTTATAATCAATAGAGAACACACATAGTTTTGATGTTAATATTTACCTTTAATAAACACATTATTAGAAAAAATGCAGTGCTTAATTTTGCAGTAAAGTTGACTGTTTGGTTAAAATATGCATGTGCTTAAATGGCTGTGTTAATTGTTTTGAGAGCAATTACATTGGAGAAAAGTGTCAAATCGATTGAGAAAAACTAATGATATAGGCCTAGCCTAGCTTTCTAACATCCCCATGTTTAAACTAAAATAAATGTTTAATGATTGTGAGTTATATATTTTTTCTGCATGTTATTTGCAGGGCTCCATGAAGTGGTCTACACATTTTCAACATAGGCATAAAGTCAGGGACAGTTAAACTTATTAATTCCTGCAGGTTTTCATATAGAGATCTGTGTCAGTGTAAAATCAGTACAAAATCTAATTTGAAGCCAAAACCTAAAGAAAACAAGAAAATAATTTCTTACGATGCAGAATCAGAATTTGAACAGCCTCCTTGCACTATAATATACAAAATATACACCGCTAGAGCATCAATCTCACAGTCAGTACCAGAACTGTGACCGCATAAAAATTATTTGTATTATTGTGAAGCGAGAGAGATGAAGAGTTCTTCTCTTTTGTGTGTGTGTGTGGACATGCTGTAGGAAAATTCTGTGCATTTCACATCCAGTTTATTCATAGTCGAGTGGTAGAGTGTTGGTCAGCATGTCAACGACAACAATTACAGAATGTGCATGACGTTGAAATGAATGTCATTTTATTAGTAGAATTACTAAAAGTACATTTTAAAAATTTGTATTTGTGACTAATATTAAGTAATGTGACAATATAGACATTGAGTGTAGGTATAAATATGTGTATTGAACAAGCTACCACTTTTAATGCTCCGATGCAAAGTAAACCATCTCATTTTAAGGTACAATAATATAATTCAATGATATAAATAATACTGCACACCTGTTAAAAAGTATAAAAATCTAAAATATGTTGTAGTACTATGTAGCATAGAATAAAACGTAAGCACAGGTTCATGGTCTTGACATTTACTATGCTGCTTGAATAAGTACTATTAAGTTTGCTTCTGTGAATATTAATTATTTCTTAGATTATCTACTGATTCATCAAATCTAGGCCATTGGCAAGGCAAAGTTGACTGCTAAAAATGAATTAAATGGTGATTAAAGCACCACTTACCAGTCAAAACCTACAAATGCATTTTGTTGAATTTTTAGGTTTGGCAATGTGTGTGGGTGAAAACATTTGAAATATAGGTATGTCTTATTATGTTCACCTAAATGGATATCACCACCTTCAAATCATTCGCCACATTATATAATTGTTTTTGCTAGTGTTTTTCTTCTACAGAGAACTGTACCAACCAAAAATCAGAACTTCAAAGATTCTCAAAAACCTCAAAAAAAAAAAAAGAAAAATGTTGCATCATATCTCAGATAGCCTACATTGGATTACACAAGATTTGTATTTGAAAGAGAACCAGTTCTAAAGAAGAAGAATTTGCTTTTTGGGTTAAAATATTTTTTTTTATATGAAATTCGAATGGTATGACAATTTGAGATTAGACTGTACAGAAATGGAAATCTACACGCTACTACACACACACTACATACATGTAGTCACGCAATGCTGATGTTGTTAACATTAACAATTTGAGAACAAAGTATAACAGTAATAATAATTTGCATGGTTTGATGTGATATGAGCTAACCGTTTGTTAGATTTAATCACCATTTGTAGCGCAATTTATTGTAGCGCAGCTGGTCAGAACAAAAGTGTCAAAAGTGTTACTTACTCGTTCAGATGACAATATCTGGTAAAAATTCATATTTGGGTCATACTTTCAAGACATAGAATCTGGTATTCCGAAGTACAGTGAATAGCCACACCAGTGCGGTGACTGACAGCCACACATCAAAACATTAGATTCATCCACGCTGAGGAGCCGTGCACAACCCCCATAAAAAGATAATTCCACAAATAACTGCAATTGCAGGTTTCAAACAGAGATGGCGACAAAGAGGCAAAATTTACAGACTGCAGCTTTAAAGAGGCATTTGGCCTATTCAGAGAGACATTTTCAAAGAAAGCTGATGAAGGTCTTGTCTATGATTGTTGCTGAAACAGGGAGTCTTACCAATGAGAGAATTCAAGGAAGAGTACGAGCTGACTCTCCTCATCTTGTCGATGGTTTCAAAGGAGAGAAGGTATTCATCATTATCAGGGCTGCCCAAAGTACTGCTGGCACTGCTGCTGGTGCTCAGGTTCCCTGGAGAGAATGCTGCCGGTCCACCTATAACACAGCGGTGGACAGTTACGGAGTAGTTTTACTTCGTTACTGTACTTAAGTACATTTTTCAAGTATCTGTATTTTACTGGAGTAGTTTTATTTTGAGTAACTTTTACTTTTACTTCACTACATTACAAAGCATAAGATCATACTTTTTACTTTACTACATATTATAAAACATATCGTTACTCCTTATAATATATCACGTGCTCGGACACGCAGAAGTGGTGTCTGATTCAAGAACAAACTGATTCTTTTCAATGAACCTTTTAAATCGGTTCGCAAATAGCACCAAACTATATATTCACGAATTAAGCCCGGCTCACACTGTGCGATTTTGGCCACGATTTGGTCGTCTGAGAAAAAATGTTTAAATCCTAAAAGAGTCCTAGGCTAAAATCTGTAGTCTTTGATCGTTAGTTTGACATGTTCACCGACAGCCGATTAATGGCTGTTGTGATCAAATTTGACCTCCGACGAACTTCTGGCAGTGTCAGAAGATTTGGCGCACAGTCCTGCAGTGTGACATCTCCTACGACGAACGTCAAACTGTCTTCGTTTTTCAAGACAAGCCATGATCAGAATTAATACTAGAGATTTCTTCTAACTGCATAAACTCCGGCGCTCCCGTCCTCCAATCACGGAATTCATCTGATATGTTGCCTTTGCTATGATAAACACCAGTTGCGCTGCTCTTTTCATGTGGGTGTGAAGTGCTGCTTGCACTATTCTGCATAAATACACCGGTATTGCTGCCATTCATATACTTTTAATGATAGTCAACATTACAGCCCCGTGTGCAATGCAGCTCGCAGTCACTAAACGTGTATGGGTTGATAATGTAGAACTCCGGGCAAGTTTTCTTGCGTGCAACCGTTTTTAACACGTCTTGACTATCGTACAGTCTGACATTAATGACAACTGAGATCCCACAGTGTGACATGATCATCATGTTCGTACAGTCTGACAAGTACAATCCTAAAGGACTTTTAAAAAAAATCGCACAGTGTGAGCCTGGCTTTAGAATGAACCGATTGCAGCTGTTCTCAAGTCGACAACTCACTGATTCAAACGAACCGTTTAGTGCGAGTCTCCAGTGAACTGAATCTAAGAACCGGGAGATCTTGTGAGCGCGCGCGCAACTGATGCTGCTAAAAGTAAGTTACTAATGTCGAATTTTAGGATTAATTATTGTAACTGAAAATCATATTTAGGTCAAAACTGTCAGTTGTTTGTGAACTAAATCTGCTGTAAAGGGTGATCTATTTAAGCCCACTGAAATGCTTGAATGCAGACACATCAACATCAGTGTCTCTATGTTTTAGGTAAAAAAAAAAAACGAAAATAACAGACTAAATAAAATAACTCATGCACGTTCATATACCCATATACGTTCATATACGTAACGTTAACAGTTTTATTAAAATGCTACACATTTAGCCCTATGTGACGTCTGTTTTTATATTATTTATCAACAGTATACATTTTTATATTGATTAACTAACCGAGTAGACAGATATGAATGTTTATTCATAACCATACTGAAAATAAGTAAATATTGTTAGCTGATGCTAACTGTCTAGCTAACAAGCTTGCTGGTGCTAAGTTGAGGTACTTTTTAGTTTACTTTTTAAGGGGAAAATCCCAGGTATTTTGAGCAGTTAGGCATGGGCCAATAACCGGTTTCAAGGTATACCGCGATTTGAAAATGTCACGGTTTCAAAACCACTAATATTTTCCATTATACCGTTCCTGCGTTATGCGTTGTTTTTCATGTCTTCTCAAAGACTGAATGTGTAGGAATCTCTCAGGTTGAGTGCAGTGTAGAGAGTAACACGACCCTCCTCCTCCTGTTGGTGCGAGCGAGCGGTCAGTCACATGCGTGTATGACGGCCGAAGGAGCTTCCTTTTTTGTTTGTAATTTCACATTTGTAATACCATAACGTGAAAGTGCCGCTTTTCTATCGTGAATGTGCCGAATCTGCTGTTGTAATTACAACCGCTAATGATAGAGAAGGGTAGGGGGAGGCCGGGTGAGTGCTGAGCTCTCGTGCCTCCATTGGTAAAAAAAATTAGCCAATCACCATCGAGTGCGTTTCTGAGGGGAACTAACTGTCTTCAGAAAAGTATTTACTTTTCATCTCGTCTCTGTATAGTTCGTATTAAAGCAGTGTTTCAGCGCAGCGCTGCTTTATGGCGGTAAACAAGGAAACGCTGTATCTGCTGCTCCATGAGCGCCTCCTGCTGTCAGAGAGTGAATCTGCATCTCATTCAGGCTCAAAGAAAAAATAAACAAATTATACTGTTCCTAATATTCTCTCTGTTGCTCAAAAACAAAATAGATTGTGTTCATCGGAATTTTTTTTTTTTTTTACCCAGTCATTTAAAAATAACACATTTTAGAGCTGTAAGACAATACCGTGATACCGTGAAACCGTGATATTTTGTTGCTTAAGGTTATCATACCGTCAACATCTCATGTTAGCCCATGCCTAAGTAGGATTATAAAAAAAAGATGTGCTAATATTTAATTAAATTAAGTAGCCTATATAAAATTGCAAAATAAATCTATCTCTCAGTACTTTTTTACTTAAGTACATAAAAAAATCGAGTACTTTTGTACTTTCACTCGAGTAAAATTGAAAACGGAGTACTTTTACTTTTACTGAAGTAATATTTTATTATATGGATCTGTACTTTTACTCAAGTACTTGATTTGTGTACTTCATCCACCACTGGCCTTTTTAGCCTGTTTTATTGATCAGGATAGTACAGTGTAATTGGGGAGAGGGAATGGGAATAAGATAACTCGAGTAAAATTGAAAACGGAGTACTTTTACTGGAGTAATATTTTATCATACGTATCTGTACTTTTACCCAAGTACTTGATTTGTGTACTTCGTCCACCACTGACCACTGATCACATAAAACAAAAATAAGCATTGTTAGGAATAGGGGTGGGTGATATGCCCAAAATCTTATATCACGATATAAGGAATTTGATTTTTCACTTATAAAGGGGACGTATTAAATCTACAATATGACCCGCAGTTTAGCAGCATGATTTTATGGCAATCACATTGACATTGTGAACTGTTGAAAGATATATAAAAAACAATTAAAACTGAAAATTTTGTACCAGAGATTTCAGGCTTAGTGATGTAGAGTCGAGTTTGACTCACCCTCCTCATTGAGATTGAGGTTCTGAAGACTCTTATTGAGGGTTCGAGCAGTGGTGGCAGCTCTTAGGTTTGTATAGGAGTTCACTGATCGTAAACGAGGGATGGCAGGACTGTCCCTACCCGGGGTAACATTTCCTGTCTCTACACATACACACACATACACACACAAAAATCAAGGCAGCTGAAACATCAGATATACAACAAACCATGACTATGGTTTGATATGTGGAATAGATAGATAGATAGATAGATAGATGATAGTACATTGCGCAGTATACAGTACATTACTGTAAGCAGCATTTATTGCTTTTGTTTAAACTATAAATCACTAAGAAATAAAACAGTTATAAATAATTACCTGTGGAATTTGCAGGAGAGGGTACAGCATAGTTTTTCTCTTCCTCCATGAACTGCAGAGCCACAGTACAGAAATTACTCTCATACTGTTCGACTAGGTGACTAAGAGCAACGACCAGCTCCTAAACATGACAAAAAAACAGGTAAATAAAAGTTATTGAATGTAAACAAAGTCATAGCAGGTCATCATGAGCCAATGCAGGTCATCTAAAGTCAGTATAGATCAACATGGGTCAGTTAGTTAAACAATAGTCACAACAGATAAACATGAGTCAATGAAGGTAATCAAGAGCCAGTACAGGTAGACTGTTTTAATTGCTTTTAATTTTGCTCTCACTAGCTCTTCTTAAAAAGGTCCTGCGGTGTGGCAAATGAAGTAAAAATATTCCATGTAGTTCAGTTAATATAATGCCATATATTCATTCTGTAATAATTAGAATTAATATAAAAAGTATTTAATGTCAACTACAACAATACAAGAGTGATGACAGGTCATAAATCAACACCAGTAAACATCAGTCAGTAGGCTACAGGTGAAAAGAGTCAATACAGGAAGACACATCTAAAAACTGGTTAAACAAAACTGGAAAAAACAACAACAACAACAGTATAAGAACATGTGGGTTATAACAGAAACACATTAAAATCAGTTGAGATTGAATTAGCCAAATCAGCTGTTTTGAATTACTCTGTATTATGATCACTATTGAGCTGCAAACTGAAAAAGCCCATGACATTTTAATTTTTGCTAGGAACTTCAGTCAAGCAATTTGCCCCACCCTAAATTTCATAAACATGTTAAACTACATTACCAGAGGAGAGAACATGTTGAACCTTTACACAAACATCAGCAATGCAGGGTAATGCAGCTACCCCAGTTTGGATTTTGTAGACTACATCATTGCTATGGTAATTGCTGTATACAGGAAATGTACACTTCTCAAACGGACCAAACCTGTTGCAAAGCTGATTACTGGAGGCCAGAAGAAACAAGCTCAGCTTTAAAGGAGTCATGAAATGAAGAATCAAAATGTTCTTGATATTTATATACATATGAATGCACTGTAAGTCGCTTTGGATAAAAGCGTCTGCTAAATGCATAAATTATTATTATTATTATTATTATTATTATTATATGAGATTACTCTACTTACTCTCAAAGCTGACTAACATGCAATATTCTTTTCTACTCCTCTGAAATACCCAGATTTGAAATCTGGAGAATTATGACGTCACATTTCTGCTGTCATATGTAATCAAAGAGGTGTGTTCCGAACAACTCGTCTGTCCATCAGCAATACAGCTGTTGAATAAAGATGTTGAGTAAGTCCGTCAAACTCTGATGTTGTTCTGTTAGCGGATGTAAAGAAATTGCAAAACTGTGCAGAGCCTTTCTAAAGATTTGAGCTTTATAAATGCATGGCTAAAGTTTATTTTTAATAACATGCCTGAGCAACTGAAAGATTACGTTTTTATTTGTTCTTCACATTTCACATCGGACTGTTTTGTGAATTATTCTAAACATGCTGTTCATTTTCCACAACATCTTTTGAATCAAATCTCACATCAAATCAAGTTTTTGAGTTCTGTTTTGAAATCTAGTGCAGAATTGTATAATGACAGCATTTTGTTTATTTAGATTATTTTCCTCACCGATAACCGAAGCTCATTAGTCGATCATTAAGCAGTAAGATTAGAATGTCTTTTTTTGTCACATCATACACCTGCAGCGCTTCTGTGAATGGAGAAAAACAGAAATGAAGTATATAAAAGTAATAAAATAAATAAGACTGTGTGACAAGTATAGGCTACGCTTGTTTCTGTGAAAATTCATTCAAAACGCATTCTATTTTTCTTTAAATTTTTATTTTATAAAATCCAACTAATCGTGCAGGCATCTCTCTCACACACACAACATATCAGTTTTAGCATTGCTAACTTGACATTTCAGCCATTTACCTTCAAACTAAAATGCAGTCAACCAAACAGAAAAGTTACACTGCTCAATTTAAAAGGTCCACTGTAAAATCAGCATTTTATGTGGATATTGGAACACGAGTTAAGTTCAAAGCCTTGTTTACATAATGAATAATTGTCTAGCAACCAAATGTTGCAGGGCAAAGAAATGAAAACATTTGGAGCAAAACATTTCAGTTTTGCTTTAAATAAATTAATTTTAGCTTGACGTTTGATGTTTTTTTTATAAAAAATGACACTATAGCCTAATTTGTGTTTGATTTTATAATTTAATATATAACTTTATAGCTACTTATTTTTCATTCTTGTTTTGTTCTGAATACAGTTAAATGTAAAGGATTTGTTGTGGAGTGAGGGGAACTAAATAGGCTATATAGCGTCACTGTACATAATGACTTCACCCTAGGCTAAAAGATTGTGTATTGAGCATTTTTCAGCAAATGGTTGTCGTCAGTCCACATGCAAGCACAGCAATAGCCATGGTTCACTGTGGTGACCATACTCCTCTGATGTTCCCCTTAAATCTGGAAATAAGGTAGCCCTTAGGTATCATAAAGGTAAAATAAAGCTATATACGGATCTACACACACACTTCAACACCTGAGGCACAAAGAGCATGTGGCAGGGCATACAGGCCATTACTGACTACAAGACTGCATCTAAGCCTGTCAACAGCGATTTTATCCATCTGATGTGTTGAATGACTTCTATGCCCTGTTGCATAGAATGCACTTAACAACACTCCTGGAAAGAAGTCTGCTGTCCACGGCAGAAGAACTTTATTAAAGGTTGATTAATGTAAAGCCACTCAACCTGGAAAGATTCCTAGTCAGATGCTCAGGGACAGTGCAGTCCAATTCACAAATGTCCTCAGAGTAATCTTCAACATTCCTCTGAGCCAGGCAACTGTCTCAGTATTCTTTAAGGTGATGACCATCACATGTGCGTAAGAAGAAAATAACGTCCTGCCCTAATGACCATTGTCCTATGGCACTTACACACATACTTATGAAGTTCTTTGAGAGGATTTTCAAAGACCACATTAAATTTCCCTCCATATTCAACACCATATAGTTTATAAAACATGCCCTTGGCCTGTTTTTCTTACCTGGAAAACAAGGACACCTATTTAAAAATGATGCTCATTGATTTCAGCTCAACACTGAACACAATCATCCCTCAAAAGCTGACTGAAAAGCTGGACAATCTGGCCCTTTCAGTGTAAACAGGACTATGTAACAGTATATAAGGACTATATAACAGAGAAACCACAGTGGATTTCGATTGCCTGCAAAACCTCAAGCACAATCATGTTGAGCATGGACCTGCATCCACCAGACCAATATCTTCTTTTATGTTCAACAGAACAAAGTCAGTCATAAAGGTTTGGTTTTTGATTGTTGGGTGAGCTTTTCCTTTAAGACATAATTTTATGTGAAAACTTGCCAGGATGGGCATTTTGACTAAATTTTGTAGATGCAATACATAGTGAAAGAGAATTCAATGTGCTACTCACAAAGGATTGTACCTGGAGAATTAACATCACCTTCATAATATCTCCCCCCATCCTCACCACCTTCTACAGGGGCACCAACAGCTGAAGTACTGCCTGGCATGGGAACTCTAAAGCTAACCACCAATTTCAAATCCCTTTAGCAGACAGTAAAGACAGACGAAAAATTACTGGAACCTCTGTCCCAACAATCCATGTTATTGTGCACTGTCTGTTGTAGCGTCTGGACCAATCAAACACACAATATATATTTTGTTAGCTATATTTAACAAATACTCTGTAACACCCCTATAACATTCCTTATTTCTCTCCTCTTTACTGATTAAGCTTTAATCCTTTCCTATACCAACTGTATGCGTGTGTGTGTGTGTGTTTGTGTGTGTAGTGTATGTTAGACCAGTTTAAGTGTTTATGTGTATGTTAGACCAGTTTAAGTGTTTATGTAGTATGTTAGACTAGTTTAAGTGTTT